CTCCAATATCCTTTGTAGACTAGTCAGCCTCCTAAGAAGCTATTATATTTGTTTATTTATTACTGGTATTTATAAAGTGCCAACAGATTTCGCAGTGCTGTACAATTAGAGAAGAACATAAAATATATACAGACAAATACAAAAAGTTGGGAGGGCCTTGACCGTAAGCTGAGATCTAGCCATTGAAGCTCTTTTTTACAAAGTGCATAGCTAGATAACCCGTGAGCTTACAATCTAAAGTGTGTATCACTAAGAGCTCCTCCTGCTCATAATTATTTGTTTGATTATAAGTGTATCAAAAGATGTGTACTAATAGATAAAATAAATAAGTAAAAGTTTAAGAGCTCCCACTGCTCCTCCTGCACTGTATTTCCTGTTTGAGAGGTTCTTAACAGGCAGGTGGGAAGTGATCTCTTCCTGTCCAACCCCACACACAAACACTGGAGGAGCTGGGACAGCACTGAGTTTTACTCTCTGTACAACTGTTCCAAAAGGTCTGCTGTTAAGGCTAACTGAACTACAGAGGACACTGACAAATGCTTTTCGTACTTATCTCTCCCCACCAACCTATTTAAAGGAACACTATAGTCACCAAAATGACTTTAGCTTAGTGTATAGGTCATGCCCCTGCACTCTCACTGCTCAATTAACTGCCATTCAGGAGCTAAATCACTTTGTTTACGCAGCCCACTCGCACCCCCCTGCATGTGACTTACACAGCCTTCCTAAAAACTTCCTGTAAAGAGTCATCTAATGTTTATACTTCCTTTATGCAAATTATGTTTAATTTACAATTTCTTATCTCCTGCTCTGTTGATAGCATTCTAGACCCTGCAAGAGCCTTCTGTGTGTGATTAAAGTTCAATTTACAGAGCATTTGATAGAAAAACTCTACAGCAAAAAAAAACAAAAAAAAAATTTTTCATGCAGGCTTTATGAGTCACAATCAGGTTAGTTCCAATTTTCACCCATAGTCTTACCCAGATTTTTAATGTCTTGCAGTCTAAAACAGTTTTGATGGAAGTAGAGTGGGGTTTTGGTTTCCCCTTATGTTTTTTTTTATATATTATATATGTACATGATTATTATATATATGATTATTCTCATAGCATTGGTGTTTAGATCTACTGTCATGTATATTTATTTATTTGTTATGTAATGCATGAAAGAGTCCCTTTAATGATTTCATTTACTGTGCTATCTAGGTTCCAGGAATACATATTAGTCAATAGCAAACTATAAGGAGTTTCAATAATTGCTATAATTAAAATTGCTCATTTATTAGGTAGCATTTTGTGGCATTTTTAAATATATATTTATTTGTACATTCTGTACATTGGATGATACGTATTTGTAATTAAACAGACACACCAGGCACCTAGATAATGAATACACCTTAAGGTAAGATATATGTAAAAATGATGCTGCTGAATGTACCTCACATCTTGCAGATAATAAGATAGCAGCAATTCACTCATTTCATTGGATCTGTTTGTAATAGATAAGATTGTGTTGAATATGTGCTATTCATATTGGAGAGCTTTCAATGGATGGAGCTAAAGTCCTCCCAGCAGTACTGCACATACCAGAGCATGCTGGATTACCTAATGCATGATGTCATGCTGGGCCCATCCATGTGAGGTTTCACACTCAGATTTGCAATACTTAAATTACAACTAGTGGAAGATGACTAATTAGGTCATCTCCAACTTGGGTGTGCCTGTAATATACATATTCAGCAATGCATGTTTTTTTTGGTTTTTTTTGGAAGTGGAACAGGGAACTCCATGCTTCCCCTTCATGTAGTCTCTAACTTCCAAGAGGAAGGGAGAAATCTTGGCCCAACGACTGTCCATATTCCAGAAACCCCTCCTCACATCTCTCTACATTATCTGCTGCTTGTGCATCAGAAAGTGACATCTCAACCAATTCTTGGTTTAAGTCAAAATCATAGGTGATTAGATGGATTAGATTTTTTTTTTTTTATGGCAATATTGATTTGAAGCAGGCTGTTACAATCTATACAAAGTTATGAGGCACGGAATGCATTGCTTTCACCTGAAGAGTATGAGGACTCTTTTACATATGAGCTATCTCACCAGGTGACTTGTGTGGTGCCAATGAAAGGAGTAGCCACTTAACCTTACACCCTGCACACTGCTGATCTATTAAGCTAACATTTATTACATGACAGAGAGTACAAACACTAAAGTGCCTATATAAGGGAGAATTAGCGGTGCCTTGGGGTATACTGGTTCATGAAAGCCGCTGGGGAAGGTGGGCAATAAATGGAAAAAAGGAAAATCTTGGCAGTTAGCTCGGTATCAGAAACAGCATACAGTTTTAGAAAATTACCCCATGTCAGCTATGTGCAGAACACCAAGCTCCAACATTGGCAGATTCTCCTAGTGGTTGCTCTGTTTTATTTTTCAAACCGTTCAAAAAATATTTAATACAAACCAGGAGGACATCTCCGTCAGGCAGTATGCTCTGTAACTACTACAATGAGTAGTAAGTATTGCATTATAGAATGCCCCTTTAAGGACAAAATGGTCAAAGTGGATTACAATCACCAATTCAGCTATCTTTTCAGCTTGGCTATTTTTATTTAAAATTTGAAATTTCCTTTTCAAATCTAAACGGTTGCTTGTTAAGTAGCCCAGCTGAGTTGTTACAAATGAAAATCAAGAAAGGAAAACAATCTGAATTTGTTTCAACCTAATTACATTTAGAACACAAACATGTATTTGTGTTAAAAACAATATCTGCCCCCCTCCCCTTTAAATATAGCAAAATCTTACCTTTATTCCAGTCTGCTGGTGCTGGCTCCACCCTCGATCTGTTGCCTTGGCAGATATCATCTGAACTGATGATTTTATCCAATCACAATGCTTTTCCAAGAAAGAAAATTCTGATCATCTCAGCCAAGGAGGCAGGTCGGGGGCGGAGCCAAATGCTGCACTGGCCAATCAACATCTCCTCATAGAGATGCATTGAATCAATGCATCTCTACGAGGATGGTTCAGTGTCTCCATACAGAATGAGGAAACACTGAATGTCAGTGCTGCGCACTGCCCCAGGAAGCACCATTTAGCAGCCATCTGCCACTAGACTGTAATGTAAACACTGTACTTTTTCTAAAAAGATAGTGTTTACTGCAAAAAGCCTGCAGAGACTGACTATACTCACCAGAACAACTTCATAACGCCGCAGTTGTTCTGGTGACTATAGTGTCCCTTTAAAACAGCATAGTCATTTTGCAGGTTTTGTTTTTTAATGAATCCCTTTTTGTCACACCATTTATTGTTTTCAAAATAGTTTTTTAGTTCTACATAAGATATAGGCAGGACTACTTTTTCTTACGGGAACTGTGATTTCTGGCAATGGGTGGTGCTTAAAGGGAAACTATAGTGCCAGGAAAACAAACTCACTTTCTTGGCACTATAGCTTCCTCTCTGTCAAGGCCCCCTCCCACGGCACTGAAGGGGTTAATAACCACTTCAGTCACTTATTTGGGTCCAGAGCCGATGTCCCTGTGCGCTGGCTCAGCTCCGCCAACGCTCCTCCCATGCTCCTCCCCCGCCAACATCCGCTGCGCGGGATACCTAATGAGCATGAGCGGCAATGCTTTTCACTGCTTTCTTATGGGGAAAATATGAAGCTGGAGGTCGTCATGCAATGCATGAGGACGTCCAGTGTCAGATAACGGACCAAAAGTCCATTTCAATTTTGAAAGCTCTCTGGTAGACAGCCACTGGAGGAGGAGTTAACCCTCAGAGGTAATTACTGCAGTTTATAAAAACTGCAAAATTACCACTGCAGGGTTTAGGGTGATGGGAGCTTGCATCCAGACCACTTCAATGAGCTGAAGTGGTCTGGGTGCTTATGACAAGTTCATATTCGGTTCCTAGGTTAATTTATCCATAATCCATCAGTCACAAGAATGTGACTTTTCGGCAAACTGCAGACAGATGAGAACAAAATATATTATGATCATGAAAGAAAATGTTAATAACCAAAAGCAAATGGTGGGGGGAATAATAAAAACTAAGAAACAAAGGAGATTAGAAAAGGGGGGGGGGGGATGGACAGTGCCACTTTAACTAATTTAAATTTTTGTATTAAAATTCCACATGATATGTATGCACTGTTTTGCGATAAGTATTCTGTAGTCTTGATAAGGCATATTATGACATCATATTTGATAGTTAGACAAAAGAAAAACAGACAAAACTCTTAAAGAATAATCATCTTTTATTCTAGTCACAGTTAGTAATAAAAATAAAAAAAACACTGGACCTGGACAAACTTTAACGGTACATATAACTTCCATTATACTCAGCCAGTTAGAACTGCAACCCACTAATTAATCAATAACACATTAGAAAAATGTTACATGAGCAGCAGTCTAGTGATGTGGGCAGCCTTGTTTGTGCAGATTTCAACATAACGCAATTCAGCTTTAAAAGGATTGTAATTGCTGACAGTGATTTTGATAAATAACACATTTATATAAAAAATTATATTAAAAAAAAATAAACATACTGACCTTTTAAACTGTTTCTTGGAGCACTGTTTAGTACACTTGTGCATTTTGGCTTTGGACGAATTAAGAGTCAGCAAAATTTGGACTGATGGTCTGCTTGGCTGACGTGCCATGTGAACATGTAACCATATCTTTAAATATATATATATATATATATATATATATATATACACACACACACACACACACACTGCTCAAAAAAATAAAGGGAACACAAAAATAACACATCCTAGATCCGAATGAATGAATGTTCTTTACATAGTTGAATGTGCTGACAACAAAATCCCACAAAAATGTAAAAATGGAAATCAAATTTTTCAACCCATGGAGGTCTGGATTTGGAGTCACACTCAAAATTAAAGTGGAAAAACACACTACAGGCTGATCCAACTTTGATGTAATGTCCTTAAAACAAGTCAAAAGGAGGCTCAGTAGTGTGTGTGGCCTCCACGTGCCCTTATGACCTCCCTACAATGCCTGTGCATGCTCCTGATGAGGTGGCGGATGGTCTCCTGAGGGATCTCCTCCCAGACCTGGACTAAAGCGTCTGCCAACTCCTGGACAGTCTGTGGTGCAACGTGACGTTGGTGGATGAAGCGAGACATGATGTCCCAGATGTGCTCAATTGGATTCAGGTCTGGGGAACAGGTGGGCCAGTCCATAGGATCAATGCCTTAGTCTTGCAGGAACTGCTGACACACTCCAGCCACATGAGGTCTAGCATTATCTTGCATTAGGAGGAACCCAGGGCCAACTGGACCTGCATATGGTCTCACAAGGGGTCTGAGGATCTCACCTTGGTACAGTGGCGTACACATAGCCCATGGGGCCCCGGTGTGACAATTGATCCGTGCCCCCCCCCCCCGCGCTTACTCTCCGCGGGCCGGGGCCACAACACATGGCGGCGGGCACCTTGTCGCAGGGGTTGCAGGGCTGCGACGCCTGTGACCGCGGTATGTACGCCAGTGCATGCAGATGCACACACACTTACAGGACCACTACAGACACCTAGATCACATCAGCTCAATGAAGTGGTCTGGATGCCAGGTCCCTCTAGTTTTAACCCTGCAGCTGAAAACATAGCAGTTTCAGAGAAACTGCTATGTTTCACTGAGGGTTAATCGAGCCTCTAGTGGCTGTCTCATTGACAGCCGCTAGAGGAGCTTCCGCTATTCTAAGACACTGAATGTCCATAGGAAAGCATTGAGTAATGCTTTCCTATGGCGGTTTGAATGTGCGCGCGGTTCTTGCCGCGCATGCGCATTCGGAGCTGAGAGGCGGAGGGATCCCCAGCGCCAAGGGAGTCCGGTGCTGGAGAAAGGTAAGTGCTGAAGACACACACACACTCTCACGAACAGATGCATACACACTAGCTAACAGACACACACATTTACTGAAAGAGACACACTCAGCGACAGACATACATACACACTCACTTACAAAACATACACCCTCACTGACAAACACACATTCACTAACAGACATCAAACAGACTCACTAACAGACACACAGTAACACACTCACTGACACTCACTAGCAGACACACACTCAATAGCAGACACACACTCAATAACAGACACACTCACTGACACACACTCTAACACACTAACACTAACACACTCTAACACACACACTAACACTTACACACACTAACACACACACACTTATGTTTTTTTAAATTTAATCCTCCCAGCCTCCCTAACTTTGGGAGTGCTGAGGGGATTCCATGGGGTACAGTGGTGCTGCTGGGCTCCTGCCCGCCCGGTGATACCAGGGCCAGCCTCGGGAGACCCTGAGGTGGTCAACTCCTGGGCCCCCCAGGAGAAGAGGTCTTGCCCAGTCGCAGCCGCGACCCCTGTGACCCTGGTATATACGCCACTGTCTCGGTACCTAATGGCAGTCAGGCTACCTCTGGCGAGCACATGGAGGGCTGTGAGGCCCCCCCAAAGAAATGCCATCCCACACAATTACTGACCCACTGCCAAACCGGTCATGCTGGAGGATATTGCAGGCAGCAGAACGTTGTCCACGGCGTCTCCAGACTCTGTCACGTCTGTCACATGTGCTCGGTGTGAACCTGCTTTCATCTGTGAAGAGCACAGGGTGCCAGTGGCGAATTTGCCAATCTTTGTGTTTTCTGGCAAATGCCAAACGTCCTGCATGGTGTTGGGCTGTAAGCACAACCCCCACCTGTGGACGTCGGGCCCTCATACCACCCTCATGGAATCTGTTTCTGACTGTTTAAGCAGACACATGCACATTTGTGGCCTGCTGGAGGTCATTTTGCAGGGCTCTTACAGTGCTCCTCCTGTTCCTCCTTGCACAAAGGTAGAGGTAGCGGTCCTGTTGCTGGGTTGTTGCCCTCCTACGGCCTCCTCCACATCTCCTAATGTACTGGCCTGTCTCCTGGTAGCATCTCCATGCTCTGGACACTATGCTGACCGACACAGCAAACCTTCTTGCCACAGCTCGCATTGATGTGCCATCCTGGATGAGCTGCAGTACCTGAGCCACTTGTGTAGGTTGTAGACTCCGTCTCATGCTACCACTAGAGTGAAAGCACCGCCAGCATTCAAAAGTGACCAAAACATCAGCCAGGAAGCATAGGAACTGAGAAGTAGTCTGCAGAACCACTCCTTTAATGGGGGTGTCTTGCTAATTGCCTATAATTTCCACCTGTTGTCTATCCCATTTGCACAACAGCATGTGAAATTGATTGTCACTCAGTGTTGCTTCCTAAGTGGACAGTTTGATTTCACAGAAGTGTGATTGACTTGGAGTTACATTGTGTTGTTTAAGTGTTCCCTTTATTTTTTTGAGCAGTGTATGTATATATGTGTGTGTTTTCTCTATTGGTTAGCCAAATGGCATGAAAGTGCCCCTATTAGTGTATTGCAAAATATATATACATAATAATTATATTATCAAAGAAAAGAAAAAGTTACCTAAAGCGGGTCCTACACTGACCCTTCAGCCTGCTTCCTTGAGAAGGGTCAGTGTAGGACCCGCTTTAGGGGGGTGTGCCTTGACGTTGGCAGGCGGGCATCCCCTCCAATAGCCATTGGAGCAACTAAATGACCTCCATTTGTCTAAATATACATAGGGATAAAGGAGAGAGCGCAGGTAACTTTTTCTTTTCTTTGGTTTTTACTATATATTGGGGCTGATGTATACTGTAGTCATTGCTGCCGGCCCAGTAGTGATGGGAGTGAGCGCAGGACTTATCTTTTTGTAATAATTATATTATGTATATTTTTTGCTGTACACAGATTGGCCCATTTTCGTAGTCTCTTTGGTTTGTTCAAATGTTTTCTCTAATATTTTATCATGAACGGTATTGGATTAACATGGGGGCTAATGGAGCTGCAACTCCAGACCCATGTTTCAGTACTCACATGCTCTTGCACTAAAATATTGTGCAATGGGAATGGGAACTTATGAAGGATATAGGGCAAACAAAACATTTGCAGTCTGGCTGGCTGTAAAAGCTGATGATATCAATGTGAAATCTGCACTGTTTACATTGAGTTGTGATGTCATGACAGACCTATGTTTGCATGATATCATGGGCATTGCGAATATGTTCAAAGCTGCTCTCATGAACTGGATATTCTTTGTTGTTAGTACTAAATTGCCTCAACAGGAAAGAGAGGCTGCTTAGTAACAACACTACACGTTCATTTTTATTTATTTATTTTTACTCTGTATTGTATTTTTATAAAGCATTCTCTAATGCATGCAAATGTAGTTACTGTTGTTATTTTCAGACTATAGTGTCTTTTTAAAGAAACACTAATATTTATATAATAGAGAATAGTCTAGGGAAGTGAAAATATGTGTAATAGTTATAAAAAAATCCTATTTCACTTTGATTGTCCAAAGAATTCTGTAGTGATAGCAGACTGGAGCCAGCCATTAGCTTTACCTCATCTAGGGATTTCTGATCACTGACCACGATTTGAATATCATCTGTATTCCGAAAGGCTGAAAACACGAGGTAGCCTGTTAGAATACTGATTTGACTTCAAATAGGTCACTTACATTTATTTCCCTGTTTCCAATTTCTCCACGTAGCCTTTTACCAGAATGGAAGAATATAAAAATAACTCTATAGCATTAGGAATACAAACTCCTATTCCTAACACTATCGTGTCCTAGTGGCAAAGTAGTTTTAAGTTTTTCACTCTTCCCATTTTCAGTACGAACCTGAAAAAAGGCTTTTACTTACCTTTACTCCAGCTCTGAGACTCTCTTGCCTCTGCCGGTAGCTCCGCCTCCTGGGACATCATCGGACTCTCTCGCAGGTGGTCCAATCCAATAGTCCTTTATAAAGGAGTATCTAAATGCTTCTCATAGTAAAGCATTGAATTGCAACCTCGCAGCACCAAGTTTTACTCAGCTGTTGCTGCAGCAGTGCCCCTAGTGGCTGTCAGGAAGACAGGCACAAGAAATATGTTTAACCCTACAATGTAAACATTGCAGTTTCTACAAACTACAACTGCTCTGTTTTACAGTTCAGAATTAAAATGGCAGGACCCCTGCCCCCATACCACTTCATTCAGATAGGTCAGCCTGGGTGGCTTAAGTGGTCCTTTAAATACATAGTAGTAATATCACAACATATTTACATCTATAGCTTATTTTAGGTAACTCTGATTGACAACTGATTATTAAGAACAAACTGCAGAAACTGTCATTTGGGTTCTTTTTGGGGGTACATTGCACTTTTACAGTAAAAAAAATATTTACAGACAGCATGGACATAAAGTAACTAGAAACAGTTCCATCCCATTGGAACTCCAAACTTGACTAATTTTGTTACAAAGAGTGGTATGTTCAATTTTCTAATTATAAAACAAACAAAAATACAGGAAAGGAAAACCTGCAAAAAATATCAAATTGCGGCAGCTGGAATTGTTATATTTTCTCTCTGCTTGCTGGGAATAACATCCTGATCAGTGGACCTAAACTGATTTGACGACAGTTCAGTATGGAAACTAGCTGGGACAATGCAATGTATAAGGGGCAGACATTTCCAAGCATGGCAAAGCTCTAGAAAATGCCACTGACTTCCTGGCATGCATTACAAATCTGAAAGTTCTTGCATTGTAGTACTGAAAGGCTGCCTATTTATCATCTCACAAGACAGCCAGAATGATCTTTATCTACATTGCCCACTTTCTGACCCAAATTCAGAGGTTTTTATGGAAAATTGCAGTCAGTTTGATTGATGAAATCCAAAGATGTCTAAAATGAAACCAAAGCTCTCCAACTGTGCAGCCTCCAACTGTGTGCTTCAATGTTGGCATTGTTCCTGAAAAAAAAAAAAAAAAGTTTAGAAAATGGCAAAAGTTACAGAAGTTTTCTTTAAAATAAAGGGGGAAAAAAACCATTCCAATTCTCAATGAAGATACCAAACCTATTATATCCATTTACACGTGCAAACTGTGTGAAAATAACATAATTCCCACATAATAAAGTAGCTTTAAGAGAATGCAAAGAAACTCTTTTTTTTTTCCAACAAAGAAATATCCGTTGATAAAAATGTACTTTCCCAGATCTTCCTTCTGCCATTACCAGACAAATGCAAGCGGGAGACAAAACGTGCTCCGTTTATATTCACAATAGTCAATAACTGACCTATAGTTACACAGTCTGCTTGTTGTATGTTTAAACAAATTGATTGATCCCATCATCTTTATTATAAGATTGATTTTCCAATCTGAACCATGACGTGGTTATACCCACTACCACATATTAGGGTCTGTCACACAGCAAAGAAATTGTTAAATCAAGTCCGTATGTAGACAATCCTGAGGTTCCAAAGCAATTTCACTTAACTCTTTTATTGCTGGGGTTGTTACTGGTAAGAAAATGAGAAATTCACTTGCATTGGATAGGAAATCACAAAGGGTTATTCAATAAAAAGTGAGAAATCAAATATGTTTCAAAGTGAATTTTAAATGTAAAGTCAAAGTAACCGATCTGGAAAAATTCTCTAAATCAGTTATGCTCTCAGCTCAGCTACTCTGGCCTTAAATTTGAAATTCACTTTGAATTATCACTCCAGTAATTAACCCTCACAGACTTTCTGTGTTATTCATGAAAGGGTGAACTGGCAGGAATTCAAAGGGAATTTCACGTTATAGATCAAAATGGCCAATAAAAATATTTTATTTTGGCTATTGTGGGCTAAAATGTGAAATTTACCTTGAATTCATGTCAATACACAGTTTGGTGAATAGCCATGTATGATTTAATTTCATTTTTATTGGAGACTTAGGTGTCTATAACTAAACTGTGAACAGTAACGACTTGCAAAGTAAGTGCAAACAAAAAGCAGTAAGTCAATCCTTATATCCCCATAAATCCCTGTTTAGGCAATAGATCCAACATCATGGTTTTAGTTTTTTAAATAAATTGTAACACAGGTCAATAATCCTATCGGGGTTATTCACTAAAGTGAGATTTCAAAGTGAATTCAAAGTGAATTTTAAATTTAAGGCCAAAGTAGCTGAACATTTAGTACAACTGACTTCGAGAATGTTTCCAGTTTGGCTATTTTAACCTTGAATTTGAAAGTCACTTTAAATTCACCTTGAATTCTTACTTTAGTGGAATAACCCCTGTCTGCGCTGGGCATTTCTTGTCATACTGTGAAAGCGTGTTGTAATTATTGTCTCAGGTATCCCACAGGTAAAACCTGAGACTCCAGAAATGATTAACAGGCCAACGAGGTATCGGATTTCTTTCATAAAGCAGATTGGTTTATCATTGACTTCCCCAGTTGGCTTGTTTTCAGTGATATATTGCCTCAAAATATTGTCACCTGCCTAATTGTCCTAAATAGCCATCCCATTATTAATTCTATCTGGACGATAGCTGGTAGACATATTACAATGCTTGTGTGGCTGATGGATGAGACCCCCTTCTAGGAAAGAGCGTGCTGTCTGTTTTATGTCGCTTTCACCCCAGAGAACACACTATAAATCTTCTTTGATTTTAACCACGTTTACACTCTTCCCCCTCCAGGCAAGAGACGTCGTGTTAAGATTGCTCTTGTGTACCAGTGCTGGGACCAGCTGCTACTAAATACAGACAACTCCTTGTCAATTTAGTCCATGGTGATCATCTCCAAGTATCCCTCGGGCATGCTAGCTGCCAGTAGTATGCAGCCCCTTCAATTAGTATCCAGTTGGAAAAAACCTCCAGGGCATGAACCAAAAAGCAGCATGGGAAACAGTAACAATCATAAAGATAGTGTAGTTCCACAAGGGAAAAAAAAAACTGACCACATGAGTGGTTGATAGTAAGCAGACCCAGCTCCAGATCCACTGCCTCTTCCTCCCAGTACTACACATTCTCTTTGTGTGTGAGCCAAGCCGAGCTTCACAAGGCAGGCTTGGAAATGTGAAATACAAAAATACATTCATTTGTCTATGTGACTGTTTGAGCTGGGGTTTCTCTTGTTTGGCCATGTCACCTCTAGCAGCAGCTGCTTTGCCTTGCACCCAGGAGGCTGCCCTTTGGCCTACGGGGAGCTGGACAGGGCAGCTTGCTCCAAGGAGAAGCAGAGAAGAAATCTTAGGTCAGAGGGCCAACCTGCCATTCTACAACAGGCACACCATTAGGAGGCCAGCAAAACAAAAAACCCAAGCATTAGGAGGCCTGCCCCATCATTAGTGGAACTGTTTGTGTAAGTAATTAGGAACTTGGTAACTAGGAGAGAAGTTACATGTTAGACAAGGCCCCTCCGTAGGACTGAAAGGTTGGGGAATCCAAGGAAATATATGTCTCAGGGCTAACATGACCTGGAGAAGTTCAAGAACATAACAAATACCAAGTGCAACTGGGGACAGCATCCTAATCAGGGATGACAATGGAAAGATGACACTAAGAAATGACTTTCGTATTAGATATGGAAACTTTCAGGGAATGGGTCAAAGAGGTGAATAAAAGTCAACAAGAGAGCAGGTTAATGGAAGAAAGAATTTAATATCAAAAATACATAAATCTCCAAGTGAGGACCATTAGAATGGAAAGAATAGCTGGAAGTGTCAGGGTTACCATTTAGCTTATAATGCCACCAGAATAGGGGGAGGTCCATCTTATTAACTTTTAACACAAACGTTAACAAGGAGATAAAGGGATAAATAGCTATGTCTTCAATTGTGATGGCAATGAAAGAATTCCTCATGTCACACCAACTAACCGATCCTCTATTCAGTATTTCCATTCTCCAGTAAACGTGCACATTTCTACCAGTTTCAAATGAGAGGTGTCAGGTTTTGTTTGTTTTTTTTCCCCTTTGTTTTATACTATACCACTTTATGTAGAGATGAATGGATTCTTCACTAAAAGACTCCCTATTTAACTACTTCAGTGCCACTCGGATTGCTACTCATCCACATGGCTTTAAAAATCTAGAGAGGGTTACAGAGAGAGTTTGAGTAAAATAAGATAATACATGTACAGACTCATCTATTTCAAGGAAAGAGGACAATAGTAGCACAGGCATAAAAAAACACTTCAAACATGAATGTTGTCTTTATTCACTATGGTGACAATACTAAAGAAAGAATATAGGGACAGGCAGGCTCAATCACAATTCTATTACTGTAAGGGTCACTCCAAGCATCATAACCACTAAAGCTGTAGTAGTTAGGATTTCAGGAGTACCCTGTCCTGGTTCCCTGGTAATAACACAAATTGTTTAGTAATAGTCTCCCCCCTTATCTGGGTCCCTGCCACGCTCCTAGACTCCCTGCTGTTGTGGTGATGCATTTCCTACTTCTGCAGTCGATGCAGTCACCATACATTGGCTGAGAGTGTCTGCTGACCGCTCTCCGCCAATAAATGGCACACTGTGCTCCAGTCTGGCTGATGACAATCCATGATGCTACAGAAGTTGGGGTTACATCTCTTAAGCTAAGGGGTTAAATTCAGTATGTGCAGCATGTCGCAATAAAATGCTTCACATATAGACTCCAGACACCATAACCACCTCAAATCACTCACATGGTCATTGTGCCTGGAGTAACCCTTAAACCCATATTTCAATTAACAAGGGGTATAGACTAGTAAAGAACCCTATGTTGCCTTCTGTTTATTAAAGCATTATTTAGTGTCCAATTTGCTGTATATCTGGGAAAGAAAAAGGGGGAATTGAACAAATTCCCTGTTTATAAAGTTTAACTCCTCCTAACATTTAACCCTTCACATATTGGTGGGGTGGGGGTAAGTAGGGACCATTGAGTATGCAATCTTGTTTGATTGCATTTCATCTCATTGCACAGGATGTGTCAGCGTATAAGCCATTTAGTATCTTGTTCACCTCTTTGGTGCCTTATTAACCCTTAAATCCTCTTATTCTACTTGATATGCCCTTATGATTAATACCCAATGGTCATCTTTATTTTATTTTGTTTTTAATTTATTTTGCAGTGTTTCTCAAAGGCCACCAAGTGTTTTTAAATTTAAGGACAAATTTGTAACTGGCTTAGGACTTCCAGAACAATTTCTGAGACAGTCGACCCCATCTTGGCTATATCTGGGACATTAAAGTAACACTATAGCATTAGGAATACAAACTATTCTTCCTAATGCTATAGTGTGCCTGTTACTTACTTCTTTTCAGCAACAAGGCTCCCTTGGTACTGGCTAGGTCTGTTCCTTCCACAACATCACCATTGTGGGTCCTAATGTGCATTCACAGTGCTCGCTGCGCATTAAAGCTTCCCCAAAACAACATTTTTGTGACTCCAAAATATAAGCAAAAATCTTGGCTAACAGACGAGCATCTCTCCTCCCTGAGATAACACACCCAGACCAAAAAGACTTTGCTTCAGGGGGTCAAACATTGGACAATACCTATGAATTCATCAGCCTAATCCACCATACCAATTTATATGTAACCCTATTCCTCTTATTCCCTTGATGCTGAAAAAGCGTTCAATAGAG